CGGTATACTCATATTTCGCACTGATTCTCGAATTATTTGACGAATAGTTCTCAGGAACGCGTTTCGAAATTCTGTCGTGCTGAGGGTAACAAGAGACAGACAATTTGATAAAATCCCATTTCCAATAGATAATTGTATACTTACCGTTGTACGATAATATACATACCTGTTAGACAGCACGTATACTTTCTCCGATCTTCTTTGCAATTGACTTCTCAAGTGAATCAATTCCCATAAGAAATGAGATTCCATATCTTTAGCGGAACTAGCCCGTACTTGAACTTCCGTCACGGGAATCAATACTTGGTAACGAATTATTTCTACCTCGCTGGAATTTGCTTTGGTCGAAACTCCCTGTAACCAATGCGCGTATTATCACGGAACAATGGAAATTGTATGCAAGTATGCACGTATGCGTACTTACACGATCAAATCAGAATCGCGAGCTTACCATTAGTTTCTTCTTTTGCCTCAATCTTTCCTTGCACAAAAAGACGACAGCAGATTTGAAAACAAAGCACATTGCGTGCAGCTCTAGTCCTTTTTTTATTTTACCAAGAAAATCGGAAATATTAAGCCACTCGACGCCTCCGTAATAGAGAAGATCTCCTGGGCTCAAGTCGATAGGCTGTACAAATACATTATTTCTTCAACGATCCCTTCAAATTCTTTTCTCGCGTGAAATACTTGGTAGGGAAATAAAAAGAAAAAAAAGAAATGTCATTATTTCGGCTCACCTGCTTGCAGGACTTTTGATGTTGTCTGAACAAGTGATCGAAAATAGCTCCGTATTCTTCGTGAATTCTTTGCATTTCGTTTATGTGTTCTGCTACTTTTTCCATGCCTTTCAACGCCTCTGTAACATCGCGATCATCGAACACACATTTAAGAAAAGAAGAAAAGACACATAATCGATAGGAGTAGCGTTTAACGATCCGTCTTGTTAAAATAAAACTATCGAATCGTTGTTGATTGTTAATTTACCGATCAAGTGTACGTGTTCTTCGCTTCGTTCGTCCGTGAGATTCCGAAGTTGCTGTAGAAGCAACGGATACTTGAGTATTCTTTGAATAGGTTTTATCAAGTACGACTCTAAAGTCGACGAGTGTTGCTGCCTTGGATTTCTTGCTTGCAGGAACTCTTGTAAAGCTTGATTCCCTTCGTCTACACCAGATCAATATATGTACATATGTACATGGAACAAAGATGTGAGAAAGCAAACGATCGAGCATGCAGTATTTCACTTACTTGGATGTAACACCTTTTGTGCCTTGGAATGACTGGCACAAAACGAGCTGTACAGCTTGAAGTGATTTACGTAATACAAGAAGGCACTTCCAATGGAAAACAGGACACCCTTTAAATACCATATACGTGTTATACGATACAGTTATAACTATACATATATGTATATGTATGTACATACGTGCGTATGTATAACTTTTGTTAGAATCTGTGTATGGATGTATGTATATCGTATATGTATACCTTAAACTGACTCGGATGATCGAAATTATTGAAATCAGCCTCCATCTCGATCGCGTGGTCAAGATTTTGTAAAAATTGTCGTTGAAAGGTAACAATTTCTTGAATATTTCCAAACAATGCATTTATCTCTGCATTCGATAGGAATGTTTCGCGTTTAAGGGGCTCCAAATAGTTCTCCAACAAATTGTTTAAATTCTGAAAATTTAACGGAAAATTGTGCACACGTATGTATCATAACATAGTATGTACGCGCAAGCTATCCTTTGGCTGCTCGTTAACTTACCTTCACGTAAGTTCGTTCAGTCTCGATCAATTCTAGAATGACCTTTTTCAGTTTTTCTGCATCGCTTAGCTGCCGGCTCGGCGTCAGTGCTTGCGAATGAGAACTAACGACGCTTCCGGTAGGACTGGATTTTCTCGTTTCACCAGGCGATCGACAGATGCCCGTCACTTGTTCGGCGGTTTTTAGCAAATTTTCAATCTCGAACGAATTCGTGCGTGACGTTTGTTTACCGTTTTCTATGTGCGAAGCTGACGCACACTCCTGCGCAATGCTTTCCTTGCCTATCCACACATTTAAAGGTATCTCGTTATCGTTCGGTCCACGGTCCACGATCCACGATCCACGATCGTTTTCATTCATACATTCGATCAATCTCTTAAGGTAGAGAGATAGTTGTCGAAGCGTTTCGCGTCCTTTAACCCCGTTCCCGTGCTTTAGCCAGCCAGACTCGCGAACAGAAGCTCGGCCGGAACGTAAACATCACCGGGCAGCCTCGCGGACAGCAGCAAATTACGATCGTGATCGAGTTTTAGTTGTTATCGGTAGGTACGCGACAACACTCGGTCACGACGATTCTTCTAACCTCTGTTACAAAACAGTTTACCTTTACCATCGGTCTATGTAGTCTCTGTTCACGCGTGCCGTTTGGGCCCGGGTTAAAGTACGCGAACGAGAATAGAATTTACCGAGGAAAAGAAAAGCTTTAGAAACGAGTAAAAGAAAAAAGTAATCTCTTACTCCAACCAGGGGCCGGGACAATCAGACCGGAAATCATTTCTTCGCTTATAACCGGTGGATCGGAAGGAGGTGGTGGGCAAACCAAGCTCTCGATGATATCATCGGTAACCCTCATTATACCCGTAAGATCCGGTGGTTCGGTTCGAGACGATCTCATCATCATACAGAGACCGATTTCTTCTTGCAGTACACTTTCTAGGTACATCATATCTAGGTCGCTTACAATAGCACCGTTGATCACCATGATCTCGTCGCCTTTAATGATTCCTAAAATGTTCAAATTCATTTCTCTCGCTTGATACTCATCTTACGGATAAACATGTAAATATTACTAGTATATTTTCATTATTATTCCCTTGTTGCTTAACTTGATCGTGTTACTACCTAATTTTCTCTATGTCTACATCTCTGTCTATGTATACATATCTCGATGTGTACATACACATTTGTATGTCTCTGTGTAAATACCATATACAGGGTGTTTGGCCACTCCTGGGAGAAAATTTTAATGGGATATTCTATAGGCGAAAATAAAAGAAAAATCAAGGATCAGAGGATAATTTGTTGATCGAGGCTTCGTTAAAAAGTTATTAAGAAAATTAAGTTATAAAATTTGCTCAGTCGCGGTGGTCAATTACAATTACGATTAAAATTTGTTTCGAGGGGTGGGCAAAAAACACCCTGTGTATATTATACATAGATGTATTTGCACGAGTACATGTTGGGCAAGGTTTGTCAAAGCAGCAGACTGTAGACACAAGTTTGCCAAGCGTATAGGGAGGGATATAGGGATATAGGGATATGGAAATAATCAATATTTTCCCATGTTGTTGCGAAGCAGAAGATTCTGATGTACATAAATGGAGAAAAAATGCTATTTATTAAGGTCATCCGATGTTTTTTTTCTACGTTTAATAGGGAACTCGGTAACCTTGGTTTTTAAAATAGATCAAACAAGGGTATAAAGAGGATGTTGGGCTCGATTGGAACGATTTCCTATTAAAGCCTGTTGGCCCGAACACATTTACAACCTGCGTGGTTCCTTTAAATCTTCCGCTAGTTGCCGTAAACCCGAAAACTTGCACGTACGCGATCAAGCTTTTATTATTAAATGAGTGAAAAATTCAGATGGATATATGTATGCACGCGAATAGTAATAAATTTATTGGGGTGTCGTCTAGTCGTGTGTCTTTCTTACCGTTTTGCATCGCCACACTTTTATCCTCGACTCTGCTAACGTAACAACACAACTCGTCTTGCCTATCGGAATTTTCAATTAACTCTGCTTCCACCGAAAAGCCCCACATTTGTTCCAGAGTATTTCTTTGTAATTCAACTTGATACAAGATCTTTGCGCAAACTTCAACAACCTCGTGCGTATTCGACTGAAACATGCCTCGTAATGTACTCTATGTAGATTTATTGCCTTTCATTTAAATTAAACACGTAACAGCGAAATAATATTAATGCTTACATAAGTTTCTATCAAGTCGGTCCTATGTGGTACGAAGTAATTGTGATCTTCCATGTCGCGACGCTTTTTCACGCGAACGAAATGTTCCATAGGATTGAGATTTTTCCGGTTGCAAGCACTTGCCAGAAATTCTTCAACCGTCATAGCGTCGCGTAAAAATACAGACACCAGCTGTAAGTCGAAACGAACGTGAACGAGTAATTCATTTTTCGTTCCAGTCGATTTTTACGTGTACCTACACACGCACACACACGCACGCACGCACACACACATCCAGGCAGAATTGTGTATGCGTTTAAAATGTTAACGTAAAAAATACAGGTGAAAACTATTATTATACCGTGTAAATCGGCCACCATTAATTATTTCTCGTTGTCAGAGGCAATAAATATTGATTATTGAGAGGTAAATTTGGTAAAAGGAACGTTTGTTGTAAATTGCTCACCTGATTTTCCGGTACATATACTTTGACAGGTTTCTCATCGTCTCTCGATGAAATTTGAAGGGATCTTCTGCTGGATCCGCTATTGGATCTCGAGAGCAACGGTGGCCTTCTTTTCGTAGCTCCACGACCTGCCAGCAGGTTGTTCAGCAACGAAGGGCTCCGCGCGCATATAAAAGCGTGAAACGACGACACCGTAAACACTCCTAATTTATTTAACGTTTGCTTCGTGGCACGAGATACGTGCGTCAATAAACTCTGGAGAGAAAGTGAAAAAAATGATTTTTATCGAGACGATTATCATATATATATATATATATATATATATATATATATATATATGTATTGTCATTATTATCGGTTGCCCCTGCTAATCTGGCGGAAACTGCTGCTCGAGCAAGTTGTACGAGATTCTATTTATGGTCTACAGTGATCGATACAAGTCTCCGATATAACGCGTTCCATGTATACGTATAGAGATGATGTATGTAGGTACGTACGTACGTACGTACGTACGTACGTACATACGTATATCTCGTAAATGGTGCGCGTTTAAAAAGAAAGATACATTTTCTTACTCGATGGTAGAGAGATACCGTGTAAACGAATGCTGCTTGGAAAACAAACTAAACACCGCAATTAACAATAACATGTTGTGAGGGTAGAAAACGGTGATGATGATAATAAAAAAAAAGTTAAGCAAAGGCAGAAAGGCATAGATAGACGTATAACTTACTTTAGGATTAGGTAACTCGCCGCTTTGTAAACTAGCCATATAACACCTTAGACGAAATTGCTCGCAGTGAAGACGTTCCAGATTCTCTTCCCACTGTACAATTTGATTGTTGATTTGCTGTTTCGTTTCCACGTCGGAAACGACAGATTGCTGAAGATCAGCCATATGCTTTAATTTATGATCCTATAAAGGACAGGTTCGAGTGTGTGTGGGATTTCTGTGTGTTTGCATCCGTTTTTTTTTTAGCTGTCGTTGAGATATTATAGATATGCCGCTTACCGATTCTATTGCCTTTTCTAACCGAAATATCTCTTCCTGTAACAAGTGAAGAGTCCCGGTTTTCCCGCGATGACGCGCAAACGCAGCTGCGCAAGCCGAATGGATGCTGTTTACCCAATTTTCCAGTTCCACTTGACACGGCGCCTAACCCGAACAACCATAAACCTTAATATACCAAACCCCAATCACAGCTTTCTCCATCCCTCTATCCTTTCCATCATCTTTCATCTTTCATCTATTATTATTTGAAATAATTTCGAACGCGCGATCGTAACTTACTTGGAACAAGTAAGCATCGCCGAACGCGGTGCTCAGACAAAATATATAATCCCTTTTCGGATGTTCAGGGATTGGTTGCATGATCGCGCCATCGACTATGATCAGATGCTTCGGCGCCGCTTCCATGGATCTGCTTTCTTGCGAATCGCAAGGATAAAAGAGAAGCGTAGTCCCTTTCAAAGAAACCCAATAACCTTTCCATCCCCTTTTCCTCGCAAGTTCGATCTGATGTTTTTTCCGTAACAGCCATTTTTTCACGCTAAGAAATCTAGAAATGAACATTTAACGATCAATAGAACCGAATAATAACGCGTGGTCGCGTGGCCGCGTGGCCGCGTGGCCGTGATTAATACATATGTACTTACCCAGCCTTTCGAATTGCACCCGTACAATTGAACGAAGCTGCAGCCGTGCCGGTCTCTTTTCCACGATACGGCGAGTTTATCACGCTTTCGCCATCGTCGTCGTCGCTTACAGCAGTAGTTAGGGACATTCTGTCGTCGTCCGACATCTACAACGGTACAATAAAACGTGTCATTCCAATTGTTGATAGTTTTACACCGAATGGAATTTCGAATGGACGGAGCAGAAGTGTTTTGCGTAACGAGTTTCAATTTTCGAATATATATGTAGGTGAGAATTTGAAGGATTATCTACAAGAGTGTACGTTAATCACTACGAAACCATACGTTATCATCGACTGCGTATCCTGAGGATCCTCTATCAACAGCGTGAACGCGTGTACGTATTTAATAATGATACGGTTAAGAGATAAAAAATACATGACAAGATAGAAGGAGAGGTCGTGGGGGATGGAACGGAACGGAACGGAGCGGAGCGGTGCGGAGCGGTGCGGAGCGGTGCGGAGCGGTGCGGAGCGGTGCGGTGCGGAGCGGAGCGGAGCGAAGCGCCGGGCAACAAGATCAGTAGGAGGGATTTCAAAGGGGTTGCAGGGGTATGATATGGACCTGGAGGGGGTGAGGAGGAGGAGGAGGAGGAGGAGGAGGAGGAGGAGGAGAAAGAGGAGGAGAAAGATATACGAGCAGCGCAGCGGGTGCAAAAGGAAAGTGTGATCCAGTGACGAACAACTTGATTAGTGATTACCGTGAATATCCTTGAAAATGTATAAATAGAATCGAATGCGTACAAGATATATACATATTCTATAATGATAGTATGTATACCATTCCACGAGCAATTGATGTAACACGGCAGTATTTATTTGTTGGATAGTATTATAATAAGATGCTGGAACATGGATATTACACAAACATTGACAGATCGTGCTTTATGTTCGAGATAAGGAAGATTAAAAAAAGGAAAGAAAGAGATAAACGTTAAGAAGAAGAAGAAGAAGAAGAAGAAGAAAAACAGCAAGAACAACGATATCGTAAAAGTAACACATATAAACGGAAAGGAAAATAAAATAATGTTTACGCGGAAATTCGTGTCTCTACCTTTTTAGCATAATTCGTCATACCGCGGAGCTTGTCGCGTATTCCTCTAAAGCCTTCGCCAGCCCAAAAACTTACGACTTTTTTGAGAAAGTCGGCGTTGCACGCATCCGCTGTCATGTGCGGATGGTAATGACAGTAGCAACCCTCCTTTTGGAGCTTCATGTTCGCGTTGCCGTCGGTACCGTTGATCTTGAACATGATCTCTCTACGGGTAACCGAGAGACCGTCGATATAACGCTGCGACCAGGTGCTCAGAGCTCCGTTAACGATCCTGAGTAACTTGTAGTAATAACCGTCGCCGAGGCCAACATTTACCTTCTCAGCAACGTTCTTACAATTGAACCAATACAATTTCCTTGTTTCGTTTATACATATCACGCTGATGGTATGCCTCTTGCAAAGACAAAAGTATTTTTTACAATTCTTCTTGTGCAGTGTCCTCAAGTCCGTGTAGCTACTGCTCGGATTCAACAAATTCAAAATGCTATTCGTACATTTGATCGCCCATTTCGGCTCTACCATTATTCGTCCTTATGTCGATATTTTCGCTACCTAACTTGACAAAACTTGCACCACCGATCTATCCAACGGGCGATACCGTACCGTACCGTACAGATAGGTCGCGACACGGTTTACCAAAAGGATTTCTCGTTTGATTTTTATCCAACGTCTTTTCGTTCCTCGTTTAAAAACATGCTAGATAATATACTTTCTGTCTATCGTGTTAAACCGAATGGATAATTTGTAAGTTAAAGTCGGTTGTGATGAGAAACAGTTTCGGCATCGGCGCTCTCACCGCCATCGCCATCTTTCCAGTACACTCTTGGCGCGTAAAATTCTTTGTCTCGATTATAAATCTGAACGATCTGATCGACGACAATCATAGCTAACGATTCCAGTTCTTCCGCGAGTAAATTCCATAGACCGATCACAAAGGTGCACGTGAAGTAGAAAATACAGAGGCGACTCGCGTTCATCATATTCCACTAACAAACAACACCGACTTGTTTCGATCGAATCACGCACGATTCGAGGATGAAAGAGAAGAGATCGGTTGCGCGGAGCTAAATAGCAATGTTTTTCTTTTTAAGGCAACAAGAGAAGAAACACTATATTATATATATATATATATATATATATATATATATTCTTTCCTCTCGAGCATTTTCCAATTCGCCTCTTAATATTTCCTTTTCTTTCCAACAAGCGCACCAAACACTGGCCCTGATATAAAGAGGCGCGCGCACGCGTGCACACGTGCGCACACACACGCCTTCTCACGCATACATATACATATACATATATGTATATGTATATTATATATGGAATAGCACCGTCGAGAGGTGAAACATGTTCAATTATTTCTACACCTTTTCAATCACTACTTATATGTCAAACGTCTTCTGCGCTCACGCGATATATTAATTTCCTCTTTGAAAATATGTAGAAAGATTCCACGTTCGTAGTCGATTACATGGAGAATGCAACGAGCCTTTGAACTCATGTTGATCCGAACGCGTTTCATCGGTCGATTTCATTTACCGGGCAGAATTGTTCAAATTTTTACAAAAAAAACGATTACTCTCTCGATTTAGATCTTCCTCTTCCATAATTTATTTTATCGGTATTTTCGACAAACTTTAGCAATTTTTCCAAGTTGGTCGACCAGTGGAAACAATCGTTTCGAAAATTCTCCTAAAAATCTGGTATACGTATCGTACCACTTGCATCTGCTCGCAAACAGCAAACTTTCTATTCTGCGGTTAAAAGTAAATATATAGAATATTTTTGTAATACATGTGTAGAAACGAACTCTCCGTATAAAAATATGTTACATTTTTTTTTTTTATATCACTTTCTTTATCTTTGTTTTAATTAACCATATATACATATATGTATATATATATATATATATATATATATATAGTTTTCATTCCTCTCCGTCTTTTCTTTTATTTAGCTATCTTCCTTTTTCTTCTTTTTCTTCTTCTTCTTCTTCTTCTTCTTCTTCTTCTTCTTCTCCTTTTCCTTTTCCTTTTTCTTTTTCTTTTTCTTTTTCTTTTTCTTTTTCTTTTTCTTTTTCTTTTTCTTTTTCTTACTATTTCTACCTTTGTACTTGAAACAAACTACATATTTCTCTTAAGCATTTCGTAGAAATGAATCTATACTCGATTCATCGGTTATTATTGTTATTATTATTATTTTTCTAATTGTCAAATCCGACTAGTGGGAATATCGTTGGCATGCGCAATAAAGTACGATGGATGAAAATAGTAGAGATACCAGGTACCTAATTTACCTCCTATATACATACGCACAAATATATCTGAATCTAGCTAAAAGACTTGTTGGTACATCATAGTCGCTGTTCGATAACACACCACGTGAGCCCGCACGTGCCAAACAACTGTAAATGGAAATATTGTGTGACCGCAGAATGAATCTTGTACGTACGGTATTCCAATGAAAATATTTATTATTCCCTCTTTCGATACTTTGTATGCGACGCGAGGATTCGAAACAACTGGTATCGAGTAGGAATTTGTGGTAGCAGTTTCTCTACATCTCTGATAAAAATTTCCCCGATTATCCTCGATCTATGATATACGTATACGACGTATAGAGAGGTAATGTGTCACGAATAACCGGGCTGTATTTTCTCAACATACGGCGCACGGACTTTGTAGTTGGTGCGCTCTCAAATCTCAACAGTTTCACTGATTATCACCATCCATCGTGTGCTAGATAAGCTCCAGACGATGCAACGTCGGTCTTCTGGCTCCTCAAGGACCCGTGAATAGTTTGGAAGCAAGGAAAATTACCACATTCCTAATCAGAGAAATCTAGCCTGATTCGTTGGATTATTCGCGGAGCTCGATCGAATTTTATCGAGTTCTTTCTCGACTTTCCGCGGAACGAGTGGCAAATTAGTGGTATCCGCAGTCACGAACGTGCGTTGCTCCCGACTGCTGCGCTGGAGAACAGGGAAGAGGAGAGTTGCTACCGCGAGGGGAATCAATACCTCGGTCCTTGTGGAGAGCGAAAGGGGAACGAGGCAGCAATAGTTGGTAGTAGGGAAAGGAAAGGTGGGCGAGGGGTTAGGCGAAGGGGCCGCGGAAACTGGGGTTGGAATGGCAAAATGGGCGAAGGCATACAAGGGGCAAGAGGACGGTGGTGGCGGTGATGATGCTGCTGGTGGTGGTGGTGGGGGAGGTGGTGGTGTAGCTGGTGGTGGTGGTGGTGGTGGTGGTGGTGGTGGTGGTGGTGGGGGAGGTGGTGGTGTAGCTGGAGGTGGAGATGGAGGTGGTGGTGGTGGTGGTGGTGGTGGTGGTGGAACTTTTAGCGGAATGAAGGAAAGGTTTCGAAAGCACCGAGCTACCAACAGGGTGCTACATTTTTTATCGAGGTAGGGAATAGTAGCAATCGTGACGCGACATCACCGATACCGGAAACGATGCACCAATCTATACTTGTTCTTTAATTATACACTTGAATGTATAAATTTTTTATCAACTATTTATTTAGCGCGTGTTATGCGATATACTAACAAGATTAGAAAATAATGATAATTAAAGATATAGCGACGCAACCTTTTACGATCAAAGTTCCTGAAAATCTTTTGAATATTTCCACCGCATTGCTATACACATCGTTCCATTATTTACGCATTATAAAAGTCATTATTACCATAGGTGATTGATTTATTGAATCGAAACGCGTGAATCCATAGTTGTGGACAATATTTTTCAAACTCAACTATTCCAATATTTCTTAAACCACCCATTGAATCATGAGTAACGTATCGTACGTGGCATTATTTTGATAAAAAAAAAGAAGAGAAAGCGATAGACTGGGTAATGAAATTTCATGTTTGAATTCCGCATTATTTATAGGTGTTCATTTTCATTGAAACGAAGAAACGAAGGAGTGAAATTTTATTGTTTGCGCCCGTGTGTAGACACGTATCTAGAAAATGCAAACGGTTAGATACGTGTCCGAACAAATGTTAGTATTCGTGGTCTGGGTTAAAAAACGAGACAATAGCGGTACAAGTTTCGGAATGAACGTGATCATCCTATACCTAGATTTAAAGATCAGGCTTATACAGGTCCATCGTATACGGACAGGATTGGTAGGTTATCGGCGCGTACGCGGCGACATTCGTACAAATGCATATTCTATGTATGTACATGCATAGATTTACGGTTTCTTCCAAATATCGATGAAACACACAGGGAATATGTTTTTTCTATATATTTTTCATTTTCTATATGAAAATACGATTAACCGTTTCTATATTTAAATAAGCGTAAAAGTTGAAAATAAAGTTGAAGAAAACCAGGATAATCGTCTTGGTTGTAACCTTAATGTACGTAAACATTATCATATTGTGATATGTGTACGTTATGTATGTATGCGCGCAAACAGAGTGTAAACTATTTTCTATATAAAACGAGATAATAATGATTTATCTCTGATTAATTTATCAAAGAGTAGAATAATTTTGTTTGCCGTACTCGTTGTTGGTACATACATTGTATACGTATACATATCGGATCGAGATGACGACAATTTCTACATATTTCTATCGAAACGACTCACCTCCGAGGATGTCAAGTAGCAAAGTCTCGAGTCTGTGCTCTCCAAAGAAGCTTGTTGAACGATTCCGTATCTACCGTCCCTGTCGGACATATAATCAGATCTTACGCTGTCTTGTCTATCAAAAGTGGCCCTAAAAAATTAAGAAAAAGTACTACATTTACACTAATAACGATAATATATTACAAGTACATTATAGTACAAGGACTAATGGGATACGTGTTGTTAGACTTGTGTGTTGTCTCGAGTGGCCGAATGGCCATGGAATGGGCCATGGAATGGGCCATGCGTTAAAGAAACAACCAATCTGTTTGTCGAAATAAAATGTCGACGATGAGGATAATGGTTTGTTGGATGGAATTAATTGTAGAGAATATACATATGTATATGTATAGACCATCTCGTGCGATTGTTCCGTAAATTTAGTTGTGCGTGCGTTCACTGTCGTTTCACTCGCGCACCAGTAGAAAGTCTCCGGAATATATCAGACTACGGACGAGCTCGAACGAAGCAATAGGGAACGGACGACGTTTTCGTATACGTTTTAATGGCAATAATACTGATTAGTAATGAACATGTTATCGTAGGTAGGTAGGTAGTTGTACCGTAATGGAAAATACGTATCGATTTACATATGTACGTGTCGTGTACACGTATTTGTTACAGGTAATAAGATGGGCGTAATTTAAATATAATTAATCGATTTAGTTTAGTGTATTATGATTGAAATTTGGTTAAAGTTTGTTATTATTAACGATAGGAAAATTCTTTTCTACATATTTCTCACCTTTGTTCCAGAGAATCGGTTCGATTGGATTTATATCCGCTATCGTTAAGGCTGCTGTCATGCCTCAACGATGGAAGAGAATCCCATGGACCGTCGCGTTTATGTCCCGAGTAACTTGGATTTATCGAACTGGAAGCATCAGAGCCGAGAGTCGAACTGACCGATTGCCATCCGTCCGAATGCCGAAACCACTGAGCACGTGCCGATTCTCCGATGCAGCTGGCACACCTTAACATTTACACATGGTAAAGGTAGCATATCAGAGAAATTAATTATATGTATAGTCACGATCTAAATGCGAAAAATTACCTCGAATTATAATCGCTAAGATATCCGCGATCTCGATCGGCCTCTCTCTCTCTTTTTTCTCGTATCATTTCGTTGCGATCGCTATAGTAGCCATCTCTATCTTTACTATTTTGCCTTTCGTTGCAATAACGATAAGAGAGAGGCAAGGTCGATGATTTGTTGGAAATGGGACCTAAAAGTTAAATTTATTCGACATAAATAACGATGGAAATAATAATAATAATAATAATGATAAGGAAACGCGATATGCTTTTCAACTTACGTCTTCGTGAAACGTGAGGCGTTCGCTGTACGTTTAGCGGTATATTTTCCGCAAACTCTGCACCAGAAGAATAAAGATAGAAAATGAATCGACAGAGATAGAAGGTGTTGCGAGTTTGTTTCGTATCGGGAATGAAAATTACCACTCACCCAAGTTTTCGAGACTTTGCGTGAGCAATGCCTCGAACGTTCGTAAACTGTAACTTTCGGCATCCATGCCCTTGGCCAACGTGTTCCTTAAATGCATCTCGTACTCGAGAAGGAGTCTGCTGGTTGGACTGCCAGGCGTTGAAACGGATTGCATGCTTTGTTGTTGATATGTCTGGCCGCCGTTACAACGTCGCGAATTACAGTGGGTCGGTTGTTCCATGTCCGAGTTACCATTTGACGAACTTGGCGTGGTCGCGTAACACTGATTATCGAAGATGACATTATCCGACGGCGGCGACATGTCACCTGTGCACCGATTACGTTCCGAATCTAAATAGGTCCTGCCTCTGTCGCCTACGACAAACAGGTGCCTCATGCAGGAATTCGAAACGGTCTGACGAACGTATTCAGCTGTCGGACGAAAAGAATCGTTACTTAATATTCCGTTCAGGTTGGTTCAACCTGCCGTTGCTGCGGCTGCTGCTGCTGCTGCTGCTGCTGCTGCTGCCAAGTTGACATGCGCCATGCAACCCTTGTTAACCGATCTACGGGGGCCGCCGCTTCGCCACCCCTTTTTATCATTATTTATAGAGTACAATACCTTTCTTTTTTTTTAAACGTGAAATTACAATTAAGTGTCTCGGACTCGCGGCTCGAAAGTTGCCCGGCAATCTCCCTGATAATTATCCTTTAGTTTATTTCACGTCTCGGCAATGAACCAAACGAAACTCTCGCGTTATTAAATTTCACAAATTGTTGCCAAACGTTAATAAATACATACATACATATACATATGTATATATTTATTGAATCTCGTAGAGAGAGAGAGAGTGTGTGAGAGGTGAGTGCATCGATAAGTAGTTGTCGATTAAAATTATTATTCGCGATGGGCGCACGTGCCGGTATGGAAACGATAATTAAAGATGCGTGTCTACACCTGTACAAGTTTAAATAGCTAGAATATGTATGTTTATTTAAGAAACCAATGTGCGAGAACTGAATTTTAATATATTTACCTAGTACTCGAGAAAGAATGAAATGAAAAAAGAAATGAAAGAAATGAAAGAAGAGAAAGAAAAGAAAGAAAGACACAGAAAGAAAAGAAAGACACAGAAACAGCATCGTACGGACATGTAAAAATTTTAATAAAAATTTCTCGTATGTACCAGTATACTGACGTCCCATGTCGTGCACGCTTCTAGAAGCCTGGAATTTGTTACTATACGGACTTCGATACGGATGCGCGTAGTTTTCATTCTCAGTTTCTTGTATAACATACTTCTGGTTATTATTGCTCGGATGATAATGGTAACTGTGGTGACTGTTCCTCTTTCTGGTCATCTCTGGTGACGTAACAGGACTATCGATACTCGACATAGGCTTTAACATTCTCTTTAGAGTATTCGAGTCTAGACTGATACCACCGTTTTGCGCATTCTCGATCCTCATGTCGTCTGTGCTCTTGCTTTTCGATTTTCTTGCGCCGTGGTTGTTATTCACTATATTGAAGATATTGCCGTTTTGCATTTCCAGATCCGTGTAATCGGCAGACTTTGTATGGTGCAATTGTTCCTTCCGGAGAGATTTGTTTTGCAAGGTACCACCGGCTTGCGTGCCTTCCGACTTTAGCATTTCGGTGCCATTTTGCTGAGTAGACGTGTCTTGACTTTGTTTCTGAGGCTTTTTCGGCGACACTGTACTACCTCCTTTCTCCTCCGGACTATCAATCTGCAATTTCAAATAAACGTTTCCATTTCGATTTCGCTAAAATATACGCGAGATAAGTAAATAAGTACATGGCTGGATGATGACTTGCCTGCGAGCCAACGGTAACAGTTTCAATGCCAACGTTTGCCGTCTTTGGTGTAGTCTGGCACGTTTCATTCTGTTTCTCCTTCTGCTTGGTCGATTCGCTGCCCCCGCCGCCGCCGCCACCGCCGCCGCCACCGCCGCCACCGCCGCCGGTAACTTTCGGCGTCTTTCCCGGTGTTGCGGCCGTATTGTTCACGTTATCGTAAAGAGACGCGCTGGACGTTGCTGCCGTTATTTCGTCGCGGCCCGGTGTCATTTCCATTTCTGTGGATCGTGCCATGGTTCGTGGAAGCGTAGAAGTGTCTGTAGGATATTAATTCCATTGATTAGCTACACGGTTCAGAGTTTCGAGACTTTCAACACCTCTTATACATATTCATATTTCTATTGTTGAATAGAGGCGGTAAACTTGTCGTCATAGAGCTTATCTCGACCAAGATAGAAGAATAAAGTTGTAGAGGGAATTTGTTGTCCGGCACTTGTTACGAAAAATAGGAAATATCGTACCGCAGAAACCGCGGAATCTAGCTTCTTGACTTCGAAGTCTGGCAAATTGTTCCGGGGTCATACAAGTGCATTGTGGCTCTCTGGATCTGCTCGGCGATGCCGGCGTCGATAGAGGCTTTCTCCGTGTTTTGATCTTCTGCTTGTTCGGTGGTTCGAGCTTCAATGAGTAAGAAGAGGACGCTTTCCTTGAAATCTTGAACGACGGTGACTGTACGAGAAAATGAACTAATGACTGTAAATTACTCGATACTTGCGCGATATTACGCGATCGATTTTCTTAATCGCAAACTCGTATTCGATATCGCTCGACAAGAATGCCCAACCGCCGTACCAGCCATAGACGAAAAGTTCCGCCGTTTTTCTTCCCACGAGCTCTCCACCATTTTACACATTACACGCAAACCATTTACCAAACCTCGCAATTTACTTGCTCGTTTTCTAATCAAATACCACCAGGCACATGTAATTCTCCGCCGCGAGAAACAATTTAATGCTTTCGTATGAAATTTACTGATTTTCCCATACCATTTGTTTTTTTTTTTTTTTTTATCTGTTTCTTTTTGTTGTTTACCGTTGCTTCCTCGCTTGCACACGCGTTTACATTATACATACCTGTACACGTATACGTATAAGTATGGATAAATTATGTAATGGAAAGATTACAATAGCTAATCCGAAATTACAATAGCCTGGTTTCCATTTAAATTGATCGTGCGGAAACGTACATATGTACGTGTTCTCTACGCGTTGTGTAGCATCGTAAAGGATAAATAAGACAAACGTGGGAACTTTCCTGCAAACCTAATACAAACAGGTTTTGTCTCTAAACTTACGCAACATTCTCTAAATTGTTTAGCATCTATCGGAGAAGTGAAATTCAGTCCCCATGTATCGTTAGTCATCGTATCTTTCCAATAAACAAAGCATTCCGACGCTTGTCCGATACGTGTTCCTTAAACAGAATGAAAAATGTGAGCCTGTGTTGTTTATAAAATACGAGGTATCGTCTCGTGATCGTGTATCAATCAGCCTTACCTGGTTGAACCAATCGCACGTCGAGAATTTTGTCCACCTGACTATTGTACGCGGTAATATGGAAGACGCATTCCGGCGAATCTTGGATGCAAGTGATATTTACAGGAACTAAATCTTCCGATACCTGTTGCCATTTAACAGTCCCTGCCCCTCCACTCACATGGAACACTTCGGCCCACAACCTAAAAAATCTCATTACTGGATATTGCGTCACGGTAACAATCTTTATCACATCCATATATGTATATCAAACTGGTCAATTTAATATTATTACCGAGAAAGGATAAGAAAGACGGAATTAAAGAAACGAAGAGAGAATATCGAAATATATGTATTATTTTTCGTTAAAGTAGTCGATTGTTTGGTTCGATCGAAATTTTAAATAACATTATGTATGTATGTATGCATGCATGCATGTCGTTAGCTTTCTCTGGAAACCGACACAGTAATAATAGTAATAGTGTATCGTGCTATAAAAGCGGCTCGCGATTACGATGGAACAGTGAAAAAAATCCATCGACACGACTGAAACTAACAATTCTATATGTATACATATATAAATAAATGTCTATTTTCAAGGGAAATGGACAAGTTGCGCTTTTATTTAAAACATTCCTTTAAACGAGAGAGCTAAATAAATAGATTATTTTCGACGTATAAAAGTAAGCAATAAAAGTACATGTTAAACGATGATAGTTTCGAGTCAAGTCTAGCAATCGTATTAGTTTTAAGAATCGTTTCAAGCAGGAATCTGCGACGAACAACAACGGACAAACCGATCACAGTATGTGGTCGAAAAAAATTGTCCAAGTAGCAATTGTCTGGTTCCTTGACATAATTTTCTATATCTTCGTGCACCAACACCAAAATGACACGTGTAGATTTGAACACGAATATAAAAATCGTAAAAGAATACTTGTAACTAATAATTTAATACTTAATTTTGTTGATCGTGTACCGTGATCGGCTTCAGGCAAAAGGCAACGATATGAAAAATGGACTTTGGACTCGAAGAACGTGCGATACGATAAAGAAACGGAGAAAGACCAGGAACGATAAAATAGGATAGACTGCATTAAAAAAATAAAGTCAGAATAGAGAGAAAGGAAGAGAAAGTGACTTGACCAAAAAACGCGCAGAGATGGATGGAAACACGCGCGCGCGCACGCGTCTGATGCATGCTCTGTATGCTGTCTGTGTGGAAGTGCGTGTGCTGCGCAAGTGTACGTGGCGGGCGCGCGCATTTTCTTACGTGTCTCTGGAGGAGAGGAACAAGTAGAAAGGAACAAATGAGAATCAAAAGAACCCAGGTAGAACAATTTCATTGGACAAACCAACTAACAATTTCAAACGTGACCGATCAGTGCAATCTATCCATGTACATACGTGTATAGGTGGACATTAAACGGAACGTATACACGTCATTATACACATATGTACATGTATGCATAATGCATCGATAATAGAAAAAGGAACGATCACCGCTTATTAAGAAATGTATATTTGGCTGCGGCCAATGGTCGTTATTTATAAAGGAGAAGATAAAACTAAATTGCAAACGGTTATGCTCTACCTGAGGAAAAGAACAAATTACAATGCATTCGATGTAAATGTGTACGAGTGACCTTCTCAAAGATAGAGACTGATAATGTAGTCGTATGGAGTGGTTGAATGGTTGAATGCTATGGTATGCGCACCTCTTCCTTTCTCTTAAGCTTCCGCACCTGAGCAAGTGGCCAGTATCACCCCTGCGACCTCCGCTGCTGCTCATTCCGCCCCTAACCCCTGTCTGCCATGGGGAATCTTCATACCGATACGTCTTTCTGATAAGGGGAGCACAACTGCAAGACAGCTTATTGCCCATTCTATGCTTCTTATTTTCTTATCCAACCTGTGTGATTCTTCACGCCTCCCCTTCACGCCTCCCCTTCGCGCCTCCCCTTCACGCCTCTTCTTGCTGATCAATTTCCATTTACTACTTTACTTTAATTTCATAAATATGATTTTTCAGGGCATGCTCTCTACCCTTTATTTAACTTTTATCTAATCCTTTTACGCATTTAATCCATCTATTCTCTCTCTCTCTCTCTCTCTCTCTCTCTCGCTCGCTCTTTCCCTCCTTGTCTGTCTGTCTGTCTGTCTGTCTGTCTGTCTGTCTGTCTGTCTGTCTGTCCGTTTGTTTCACACACACACACACACACACACACACACGCACACGTACATACACACATGCACGCGCGCGAGCACACACATACACGCACGCACGCACGCACGCACTCACTCACGCGCACACGCACACACACCCACACACACACATACACTGTTTCCTAGGCTCCCTTGCAGCTTGCTTCTTCTTTCACTTCTCTTCCATCATCGATTCTCAATTGCTGACGCTGTCGATACTTTTCGAAAAATCAATCCAATGTCAAATTCACTTTGATTGGCTTGTCCGTCGACTTTTGGCACTGTTTTCTTTCTTTCATTAAACACCGACTCGACTGGTGATTATTGTTTATACTTTCTTGTTATTGTTCTGTTCTGGGAAGCACTATAGTATGTGTGTACCACAGGGACGATACCCTGTGATATGAGAGAGGATATAGGAGAAGATAACTTTATTGTCACATCGTTGCAGATGTTCGAAAGGTCATCAGCTAGTCCCTGACATGATCGCTGAAAATATAATAATTTTATTGTATTAGTTTATGAATATCGTTCTGTATAGTTTGCAGGAGAACAACTAATCGGAGAATCGGAAGGAAAACTAGTAGTCAGGGTAAACGTATGCAACGACACCGTTGCTCCTCTCGAACCAATTCTACTCGACTGAATAAAACAACGTTAATTCCGTTCCGCACACTTGCCCGTAAACAATCCTAGACCGCAGAAAACACCAGTTACTATTAACTAGAAATATTACGGTTAAAAGTTACCAGCCGACCAGACGGCAAGTTGGCTCGATAAACCGTGAAAGAATTCATTGAAATATTGCAAAATTTGTTCTCCTTTTATTTTCGTTTCTATCGTAAAACTAAAGCTATTCGACATACGAGTAAAAAGCAATTGTAACGCGATGCAATAGGATAGATATTAGCGAGGTCAATGAAGCGGAGCGGGGCATTGCGTGGATGTGTCACGGATAATAATAGGGGTAGCGTCGCGGGAGGGTTACTGAACCGGTACCGACTCTTCGTCTACCTAATATTTCTATACTGTACAAAACTCTATCGATATCCACCTTTACTTGCTATTATCTTTTTCTTTCGCTACTCTTTTCCTGACAATATAACCCATCAATGGTACCCATTTTTAATCATCCGTAATTCTCGCGCGCGCACATCTACTACCGACTCTATTTCGAAGGTAATAAGACTGCCCTCTTTATATGTATATTTGAAAAAGTAGACGCGTAATTGTTCGATAAAAATGTAGATCTAGAAGGTGTGTGCGAGTCAAGCAACAACATTATTCAAGTAATAAAATCAGTTCGTCGAAGAAAAGTAGCTGGTAACAGTTTTTAATTCAACACCGAAACGTTCGTCGTTTGACAATTAATACCAGCAATTCCATGGGGAAAAATTAGAACGGAAGGGTACGGCATTTACAAGTTATAATAAAAGATTAGACTCCGCCGAGAAGATTACGCCGTGTCGTAAAGATCGTGTAATCGCATGGTAGGATAAAATAAGGTTTGCCAACACGAACGGACGTCTGAATCAGTTTCTAGAGTCAGTTAACCCAACAGGAGGGACTGGGACAAAGTAGGCGTTTGAGTAGCGTAGGCGTGGGTGAAGAGAACTTTCTAAACGCTATATCGATTTCAAGCCTGATGCGGTTACTTGCCGTCCGCGCCTAAACATGAATGGCGGGTGCATAAGCCGGCCAACATCGTTTCAAATATCTACCGCCTACTTTTTTTCCTTCTCCCGTAGCTTCCTGATAATAATTAATTCACGCTCAAGTATATTTCGAATAGGAACAGTTCAGTTCCCCTTTTTCCATTTACTTTCACCACAACCGAATCGGCGGATGCTTGGTCACTGGTGTTCGATCGAAAGAAATGTCGAGAAAATCTTTTCGACGCAATGATTGCACGAGCGATCGAACGATCATACGTAACACTGTACGAGACACCTTGTAGGAAACGATTCAGCCTAGTTAGAGGCACCTCACCCTGCCGTTCGGGTAAACACTGCGTCAGCCAGGATGCACCAGATGCACCAGATGCACCAGCCGCACCAGCCGCACCAGCCGCACAAGCCGCACCAGCCGCACCAGCCGCTGTCCAGTGGTTGATCAACGCCCCTTGCTAGATCCAGGAAAAAGAGGCGAACGGATGTGGTAAAGTAAGAGATAGGATGGTAAATGCAAGACTGGAGAGGGGTTAGGGACTGTAGAAACGAAGGGATGGGCTACTGTCCTCGTAGCAGAGGGGTGGGATCACCACAGTATCCAATCCACCCTTTCGAAAAGCAAATAATTCGGCAAGAATCACTGGTCGGCAAATAAATGACAATTTACCCAACGACGTGCCGTCAAGGATCGCTCGAGCACCCAACACACTTCACCGTCGCCGCCTCGCTATTACAAATAAAAGATCACCCGTCCGAAATTTCCGGTATTTCGCGCGAAATCCTCGCGAACGACGTAGCCATGGATACTGCAGGATCGAGCAAAAGAGGCAACTGCCCCGTTACCCACCTCCCCTTCTTCTACGAATGCGCGCCCCTCGACCGAAAATGTCAATATCCTCTCTTGCTGCGCCCGCGATGCGCTCCATGTTACTCTGAACAGCCCTGTATGCGTTTTCTATTCCTCCCTCTACCCTTACACCGCCCATACGCCCAACCCTCGCACCACTCGCTCACTCTTATCCCTTCTTGCCCTCGCTCTTTCAATTTTTCTTACTTCCGTCCCTCAATTCTTCTTCCTTACTCGCATTTTATTTTACTCCGCCTATCGACTATTTTACACCATCCTTTCTTTCTTTCTTTCTTTCTTTCTTTCTTTCTTTCTTTCTTTCATCACTCTCCTATTCATCATCCATTATCCGATTTACAATCTTTATTCACTTCTCCATCACTATATACTTTTTTACGTTCCATCGATAACACACTATCCCATTCCTCGACTTTTTACATTAACAACTCACCATCAAACGAATACGGAGTGATCGTTGTCACTGTCGCGTTGTCGCCGTCGTCGTCGTCGTCGTCGTCGTCGTCGTCGTCGTCGTCGTCGTCGTCGTCGTTGTCGTGGTCGTGGTCGTCGTTGTCGTCGCCGTCGCCGTCGCCGTCGTCGTCGTCGTAGTCGTCGTAGTCGTCGCCGTCGTCGTCGTCGTTGTCGTCGTCGTAGTCGCTGCCGCGTTTCTATACCGAGGCGTAACCATAGTGATTACAGATCGATATCAAGCATGCGCGTTCTCACGTTTACTTATAAAACGAAACAACTACCACCCTCGCAATCAACCTCTCTTTCTTATATCATTTCTAATGAATGCTCAAACGACGTCTTGGATCATTCAAACATGTACATACATATTTCAACGACTATTCCACTATTGACTATCTCGTTACACCTTCTCTTCTACTCCTTTCTAATCGTTTTTAACATTCGTTGACCGATAACAATTACAAGTTAAACATTCGTATTACGTACGTGGTAATGAAACGCTCGTCTATTTATTTATTTATTTATCAACGACGAGGAAATTATTAACGTTAAATATAAAACAAAATAAAGCCAATACTCGGCTGCATTGAGAAAAAATTGAAAATTGTTTGTTTGAAAATATTTAAAACTTTTCCAATGCAAAACTCTTTTCCAACATCGTATAGCCCGCGTCCAATGACTGCGCCATCTGTCGAAAGGAAATTTTAATACACAACTCGTAAACGCAACGCATTCGAATTTTCTGATAAACAAATTCTTTTATGCTAGACTATCAAATTGATATTATGTATGCGTGGTTATAATGGTTTCCGGTATGCGTAGATCGGTACGACAGTAGAAAAAAAGACGTAAGAAGAAACATTGAACTGGTGTTGGGGATGTTGACGAGTCGATCATGAAAAATTTTCTCATTACAGAACGTTCAGAGCGTATATTAAATTATATGTTTACGCGTCTAGATAGGAATTCATGTTGACTAGATTGAGAAACATTATTCTCAATATCTCTGTAAATTAAATCACACCCGAAAGCAACCGCCGAGCTACTTCGACATAACCTACGTTTTAAATTTCTTCTTCGGCGTTCAGTTAAATGTCATTATTCGAAACAATGCTGAACAGAATCCGAGTAAATTTCAAGTCAACGTTTGGAAATATTCAGTCGCGTTCTATTAGTAAGCCATCTGTTAAATGTAAGGTGAACGTTGAAGATAAAATGCAAGCTTGGCAAATACACTCGTACGGAGGTCTGGAGGAATTGAAGCTTTCAAACATCAGAATTCCGGTGATCGGTAGACCGACGGACGTCTTGATAAAAGTCCAAGCATCTAGCGTAAATCCAATAGACATTGCCATGACAAGTAATACGTGTCTCGTTATTCATTAATTTTCCGTGGTATAACATTTTTAAGGTGTATTTATTTTCATTGCGATATACATATGTTGTTAGGAGGATATGGAGCAGCAGTTCTAAATTTTATGCGGAAAACAAAGGGTCTCACCGGTGGTGGACAGCATAATGAATTAGAGCTTCCGTTAACTTTAGGCAGAGACTTTTCCGGTCTAATAGTCTCAAAGGGGCATGGCGTCGGCAATAGGTTAAAATTAGGCGACCAAGTATGGGGCGTAGTTCCAGTGGAACAACAGGGTTGTCATGCTGGTTACGTAGCAGTCGATAATAATTTGGTAAATAGTAGCATTATTTTCTCCTATACGTGTAAAGATAAATTAGTATGCAAAAGTATGGAAAATGTATATAATAGGAAATTTTGTTTCTCTATTAGGTCGCGCTACATCCTAAAAATTTATCGTGCGTAGAGGCAGCTAGTATATTGTACGCCGGGCTTACAGCATGGTCCGCTTTATGGATTACCGGTGGATTATGTTATAAGAGTACAATGGCGACGAGAAGAAATAATAGAATTTTAGTATTAGGTGGTTCCGGCGGTGTAGGAACGTTGGCGATACAACTTGCAAAGGCTTGGAACATGCACGTGCGTCACTTACAAGATGAATAAAACTTATTATTTCTATCCGTCATAAAACATAAATGAAACTGGTTTAGGTTATTACCACTTGTAGTAGCGACGCTGTAAATCTCGTGGAAAAATTAGGAGCAGACGTTGTAATCGATTATAAACTGGACGACGCTGATTCGAAAGTGATTACAGAGGGGCCGTACGTAATTTCTTCGTATAGAGAAGAAAGTTGAATTTTTTTTAAATTCTCCTCTCGCTTATCCTACAGATACAACATAATTTTGGATTGTGCTAATCAGGGGCCGCATCAGATACGATCAAAGGGTTACCCACATTGTACTTATATAACTTTAAATTCTCCGCTGCTAAAAAATATCGATCGACACGGATTAATTGCCGGAACCATGAAAAATATAGGAGAGTTGGTGAAATATAACATCCCAACTATGGAGAATAAAAGCTTCGTGAAATGGGGATTTTTTACACCTTCGCAAGCAGGAATCGTGGCTCTTCAACAATTTGTTGAAACTGGAGAGGTATTTGGAAATACATATTATTTAAACTTTTTACTATTCAGAACAAATTGAAATTAATTAGAACCGTACACGTTGGTTTATCAAACGCGTGCGTATCCATATAATTTCAGGTTGTCCCAGTAGTAAAAAAAGTATATCGGTTCCAAGAATTACCATTAGCATACGATAGAGTGGCTCAAGGTCACTTACGGGGTAAATTGGTCGTCGACATGAGATCGTATTAATAAAAACGAAAAATGTTAACCAAGAAAAGAAGAGCGTTTAGAGAAGAATTTATATTTATTCCATCAGAACGACACGGGGTATATGCTTAAACTTTTACAGGAATTAATTATACTTTTTGTTAAATAGATTTTCTATTACTTGTTTGTTATTTACGCATGACGCGTGATTTACGAACCCAAGTTTCTCGCGAACTTGATACCAACAATCCGTTGCAATTTCCATTGCTTTTTCCGTACCATCTTTTAAAACTTGTTCCAAGTATGTTGGCTCGTTGATTAATTTTGAAAATTCTTGTCGAATCGGAGACAGTGTCTCTATAATAAAATCTGCTAGCACCAACTTGTACCTGTGTTGTACGGACAAAGAAGCTTACTTACTGATCGATGTATGCAGTAACGATAGAATTTTCAACGCGTTTACATACTTTCCAGTGTCTAATCCTTTCGCTTCTAGGCATATCTGGTTCGGCATTTTCCCAGAAAGCATGGAATGAATAGTAATTAGATTTGTTACACCAGGACGGTTTTCAGGTTCGTAAGTTACTTCCGACGTACAATCTGTCACGGCCTTTTTTATCTTTTCCAACAAATTATTTGGCTCATCCAGTATGTCTATTTTACTTTTTCGATCCATAGTCGATTTCGACATTTTCTTCAGAGGATCGCGCAGAGACTTTATCCGTTGACTCGCGTCATCTATAGATATACATTTTAAAAGAAAGATAGAAACGTTTAAAATATACAAAGAAATTTTACCATTAACCAAAGAATGCGGTACAGGAAACGTATCTCCAAACTTTTTGTTGAACGTAACAGCCAAGTCTTGCGCCAACTGAATATGTTGAACTTGATCTTTTCCAACAGGAACATGGGTTGCTCTGCAAAGTACATGTACCGTGTGTAAACTTTTCTTCTCGCTAAACTAATCGGATTTATAAATTTTCAAAGAATATACTTGTCGATCGAATGGAAAGATTAATAAAGTTGTCGCCTTGTCTTTTGACAAGCGAGGTACACACGACATTTACCTGTATAATAATATATCGGCTGCTTGTAGAACAGGGTAGATGTATAAACTTAGCGGGACATCTTTTACCGTTTGACTTTTCTCCTTAAATTGAGGCAAGTGCGCCAATCGTGGTAATGTTGTTACACATCCAAGAACCCAGCATAATTCTGCGTGCATAGGTACAGTGGATTGTTGAAACAATATGCTTCTTTTCGGATCTATGCCACATGCTAATAACGTGGCCGTCATTTTTAGTACATTATCATATAATTCTTTGGGATTCTAGAACATTTGCTCTTAATAATAGCTTAAAATGTTAAATATTTGTAGCAACGTGTTAATTTTTTTACAAATAAGATGTTTGTTTTTATATCTGTACGGATTACGCAGAGCTAATTTTCGAAAATCTTACGTGCGGTAGAGTAATAGAATGCATATCTGCAATGCTCCAAATAACATTTTCCCCGCTATCTTGGAGTTGCACCCATTTTTTTATAGCGCCAAGGTAATTCCCTAAATGTACGTTCCCAGTTGGCTGAATTCCCGAAAATATTCTCTTCGTATTGTATTTCGATACCTAAATTATTAATTTCATAATACATATAATATAAATTTATCGATTCGAGTATAAAATTACATAAAATTCAGTAAAACTTAACCATTCGATTGTACTGTTTTATGGATACGCCTTTGTATTTGACACTTTTAAATGTAACACTACTTTTTAATAGTGTAAACATTTTGAACGATATATATATATATATATATGTGTGTATTATATTACATTTAATGGAAAGTAATTTTAATAAGTTATCGAATACTATTATACATTCGTTCGAAACGAATCCTGAAAATTCGGAGGTGATTGTTAGCGGCCTCTTCTCATGGATGGCGGTCAGTTGAGAAACTTATCACTTGCCGAATCAGTGTGATAGGGAAACAGGTTAGTTGCGTGTAAATGCATATGAGTTGAGAAGTACGAATTATTCACGATTCTGTGTTTAGTTAAAGTCGTAAATAATTTGCATATAATCATCAAAGTGGATAATATTAACAAATACAAGAATCTTCTCACCTGCTACTATAAATCGAAAAAAAAAGTGTGAGTTATATTTAATTCGTACATTATATCGCCATCCATTAATATAATTCTAATGTTATGGTATTTACGTTGTTGTAGGAAATCGGCCCTTCCCTCACCCCGCCGGTTAGTTTGCGAGCGTTACCGAGCACAGCCTAGTGACATGGAGAAGCGTGGGAATTTTGAACATGTGCACTCTGCACTGGTGGAGTGCACGATCACGCTCGTCTACACCTCACTATAATTTTAGTTGGAGGTAAAGAAGAGAGAGAAAGAAAAAAATTTCCTCTTAATCTACGCGAGTATAGGTAGAGAAATACGTAGGGAATCTTCGATAAGTTAATTTTTGTGTGATTGGCGAGCGAGCATTTGAAGTAGAAAGTTGAATTTTGTAGAAAACATGGGAATTGCCAACATGCAACAACGTGATTGTCCATCACTGGATGCGTCTGTGGTGCCGCTGTCGGACGAATCTAACGAAAAGATAAATGTTAAGGGAAAAGAAAATTGGGTATCGATATAACTTTTCCCATCGGCGATTTATAACGAAGGCAAGTTACGAAGCAACTTTTCTCGATTAAAATTTGTTCGTTTTGTTATATTATTTCTTTACATTCGAAATCGTAATACAATACACGATTCGTGTATAGAGCGTACACGATATCATCTTAAATATAAGTTCCACATAACTTATGATACTCGACAACATAAAATTATACGGTAACAGTTATTTTTTATGTACAGATTGATCGTTACCATGAGAAGGAATCGCGTCGCGACTCGTGAGTGTCCTTTGCACGAACGGAAGAGTATTCTATGTCTACGTTCGAACGCAAGTTGGTGTAATTTTGTTTGGCCAGGCCGCCAATAGAATGTTGAATGCCGTTTGCTGTAAATACATATATCGGGGATTTTTCTGTTCAACCTTCGGTTAGAATTTCAAGCAAAAGCCGTCTTAAACTATCGAGACCTGTTAAAAAACCACAATCCGGGCCTTGGTGCACCATGGAAGTTGAATTGCAAGGTAGGGTCGAACCGTGCAGAAAAGTTGTATGCGCGAAATCGATCATTTTTACATCGACGCGTGCTTCCTGAGATTTTTGTTTAATCTTCGAGCGATACGAACACGATGTATACCTGCGAATAAAATTTATACGATATTTAAATGTGATCCATCACGAATGCTTCACTGGCTCGATGAAGTAAGTTCAAGTTAGGAATAGCACGTGTAGGGTTAATCGTTACCGCAACTAAATTTGCGTAAATTAGTTTATTTTACCTGTTCGACATGATATTGGTGCACTCGACTTGTTCCTCTATTCTTTCCTCGTCCTCGTACAGACGAAGCAGTCGATGTGCGTGCCTTTGTCTTTTCGGTCCGTTATCCGATCTAAGTTCCGTGTCGGAACTAGTTTCCTCCGCGTTATCCGAACTTTGTCCAAAACAAAACTCGTCGTTCGAGGTGTCATAAAGCATCCATTGTTCGTATATGGGAGATTGAAGCACTGTGTCGATCAAGTTGTCACTAGATTCGACGAAAACAGTCTTCTTGCTGCTGGGATTGTGAGTTAGTGACATATAAAAGTCGTTATTATCGATGGCGTTTAGTCAATTTACGTCTGTTAACCAAATAGGACATTAGGATGTAAAGAAATAATGTTGTATGGTGGAGCGCGTAAAAAGTTCGATGCGAGTTTAAAGTTGTAACCTTCCTTTCGAAATGAAAATTCTACCGAGGATACACCCACTAGTCGGGGGATTCGATTATCTTGTAAATATTTTACGTTGAATTCTGATTAATTGATAATTGGTAAAGTATAGAAATACTTGGAACGTTTCTATACGATTCGATTATCGCAAGGTTCATTTACATTTAAATACGTTTTAAAGGTTTGCTAAAACAACACATGCTGCGAAGAAAATTTCTAGAACGTGATACATTATAAATGGAAAGAGAAAAACCGCGTTTAATGAAATTTTTACGCACCCTCTGTTCGTAGGTAGATGTTGCATGGTATAATGTATGACCTCTTACCGTCTATCAATAACCCTTTAATTGTCCCGACCGTAGCGGGGGCATGCAGGCCCTGTAGGTCATATATTTTTCAATAAAAGTAAATTTTTACGTCTCATATACATACAGGATGCGAAGTAAATGGCGCGTTTCGTGCACAACGCATTACTAAACTTGGTGATGGAAACAGGCATGTGTACTGCGCAATATTATTTATACGGTCGAAAGTATGGTACACGCAGAAAGAAAGAAAGAAAGAAAGAAAGAACGTGAAATAAAATTCTACTTTTTAGTCGTACGTAACTAGCAGTAGAATCCCTACAACACGATCAAACAGAATGACTATTTTAAATGAAAAATAAAAAAGAGTCTGTCCGTGACGAATCAACAATATTTATCTGTTTGCGAAATGGAGGAAAAATGAGGGGAAATAAAACATGATCTGTTCGTGGAAACGATACCGCGTGCGTATCGATCCTGCGAAAGAAACTTTTGTAATTGTTTTTATAAAAAGATGAAAGACCGAAAGGCGTACTACGTTAAAAGATTAGATGCCCCGTGACGAGAAATGCGTCACTTACCGAACATCTTGTATATTTCTTTCGCTTTAACTTGGAGCGAAATAGAAAATTAAGTCGTGTTGAATTAAAGAAAGGAAATTGTCTTGAATTTATTGCGATGTAGAGGTGTTTGTACGCGTCTGCGTGTGCGTGTGCGTGTGCGTGTGCGTGTGCGTGTATGTGTGCGCGTGCATACGCTTCGATACAAATCTATAAATAGATGCATCATTTATACAAAGTGTGAGAAAACATAATATCAAAGAGGAATGAGAAATTAATAAACGAAATGAAATTGTCCACGACGCTTTACTATCTCGATCGGATTTCCATAGGTGAAGTATCGTAGGAGAAAATGGTCCTACCAGAGATTTCAAAGCGAGCGTGGTGTATTGAAAATAACGTTAAAAAAAGAACGGTCGAAAAGCAATCGTCCGATCGAACATTGAAATGTTCTCTACGGCATATTCTGCGATGTAGGTACGTAAGAAACTGGAAAAATCATCTTGTTTTTGGTAGAAAAATCCATCTCTCATTCTCAATGTACGTCTTACGAAATATTCTTTCTAATCTAGATATATTTATGTATGTATATCGCTCGCATCGTAAATGCCCCTTGAATCTCTTGTTAATTGATAAATATTTGTGCCTAGTAAGTTTTGCAGAGTTGTACTCTAGAACGCATGAGCAACGGTATACCTACGAAAGGATTTTCAAATCCAGCACATTCAGCTCCGATCCTCCCCTAGTAAGAAACTGATCGGGCTCGATTACGGGGGGGGGGGGACTGGTATTGCCGCGCTTTATTATAGTTCAGCCGTAATAAAGAGCAGTTTTCTAAAAAGTGACGGTACACAGAAATATACATGCTTAAATTAAAAAAATATCGCACCGTTAGCTAATGAACGTACCAACCCCGATACATTATTTAACGATTCTCATCCATCGCCGCGTATCTACATATACCATACATAGTTGTCCGTATGGAATCGTATTTCATTCTACTATTGTTTTACACGCTTAACGATACGTTTTAAAATAAATTAAACACACATTTCATACATACGTATAAGAACGTACGTAATTATTCGTAAATGATGTTGTTTAATCGAGGAAAAGCGTAACGTTATTCATAATAAAGTGGAATAAAGAATGAAAAGGTCCGATAGGAAAGTTAAATATGTAGATATACAGTGTGTAGTATAGGTTTTAAAATGATTCGAGGAGCCGCCAACAGATTCCTGTTGATACACTCAAGCACCCCGACGGTGCGATATTTCCTTTAAACCGGTTTTTAACAAAATGTCATTTAAATAAGCTTGAAACGTACTAAAACCATCGCGTAGCAGCTAATGTTTTTTTCTCATGATAAACCCTCGAATGTTCTGACGGAGTATGTCGAGATGCCTAGAAATGCAACCGTAAAACAAACAAATTAACGATATAGTCCCGATATTCGCGCACCTTTGTTTCATTACAACATTTCATCGAATTCGATCCAAGAATTTATTTTAACCGCAAGTCGCCACTGTCCTTTATTCGCTGCAGAGCAGCGCGGTCGCACCTATTTCAACGATATTTAATACTTAATTTAATTTTCGAGCAGAAGAAAGATTTTACATGTTAAATAGCAAAGAATACATACGTATATGCAACCAACGATACATGTATCCTGTGTCAAATACATACTTCACCAGATAATATATACATACATATATGTATATTATTAATTATTTGTTGAAAATATCGGAGGGTTGTAATGTAAGCACATTGATTTTAAATCTTGTACAATTTTCTGAGGCAACGTTAACAAAAGCATACAATAATACGTAATTTCCAAAGAAAAAATAAGAAGAAAGATAATTAAATTCCTACCGTTCTAATACATCAAAAAGATACATAACAATGAAAGACGAACGAACGAACGAACGAACGAACGAACGAACGAACGAACGAACGGACGAACGAATTAAAGAAATACAGTAAAGAGAGTGAAGCATTTTGACAGTATCACAACGTTAGGAATTTAACGTGGGTCGTTACATGTCGAGTCGTCGTGAGAAAGGTTGTTTGCTTGCTAGGTTTTACATCTGTTTTCTACAAGCGAAGAAAGAAACAATAACGTAAAATATTTAACCCTCTGGCGACGGACGCCTCGTCGACGTCGTAATTTTCACCCCTTCTTAAAAATCGTTCTTCAAGAATGAAACAAGTAAACGTAAGATAAAAAAGAGTGCGCAACTTGTGTCGAGAGAGAGAGAGAGAGAGAGTGAGAGAGAGCAGGGCCGCGACAGAGGTAGCCAGCCAGAGTCTCGACGTATGTAATTCTCGGTTATGGTTTGGTCTGCCATGCCGGGGCGGCATGCCAGCAGGTCGCTTCATGTTTTTCCCATCAGTCTGTCAATTTTTATCCGATATTTATAGTATCCCGCGGCTCGAATTTCCTGATACGTATTTTGTTACGATAAATAAATAGCTTCACCAACAGCGTACGTTGCTGTAACATTTTATGACGAGTCAGCTTAGGACCGGAGCCCATTCTCGCCTAGTCCGCAGCCGTAGGGTTAAAAATATTTTAAATGCCCATATCCGCGACAATACATGTGATAATACCGCCTTAAGACGTTTCTTCCTAAAATCTTTGTGGAATTTATTTTACGCATAATTCGAAATTGTTGTAATTTCACAAATAAATTTGAAATTTTCGACGAATCGAAACGAAACGAAACGAAACGAAACGAAACGAAACGAAACGAAACGAAACGAAACGAAACGAAACAACCAATTACTTATTATCGAAATTATCGATGAAAATTGAAATCGAACAATAGGAAAAAAAAAAAAAAAAAGTAACTAATCACAAACCTTGGAGGGTAAAAACTAGCAGTATTTTTTGCCCCTCTAGCTGCTGCTTCACCAAATCCTCTGTGCAAAGCTGCTTGACTGATTTCCTCTTGAATCGAAACATTGTAATCCGTGGAACTGTTACTCGTGTCAGCGTCATAGCACGCTTCCGAACTATGAGCAACTTGATCGACATAACTAGAATCGGTCGATTCTTCTTCTACTGGTAAACCAGTCGGCGAGTGATCCAGCCCCGAAAAATTGTCCGTTTGATATCCTTCGTACACGACTAGTAACGAACTGGAATACGTCGAACGTAATTATAGAGTTTTTTGTTTTATACTAGATTTAAATACTAGGTTCGAATCACGGAGCAGGTATACGAGGAGTAGGACCTTAAATCGATGTCGATTTCTCTTAAAAGTTGCTTTTTTTTCATTTTTAATAAATTTGTTTGTTTCAGGTGGTAATTTTGAGGTCGGTATGGTACGATGGATGTAAGGTCTACTCGGATAATGCATTCCAACGGAGTTAGGACTTACCACGAATAAAATCGATAGCTACTTTGCCTTTCGACCGCGCGTCGTAACTGTTCCAATTGGGGCACCACTTTTTCGATGACCAATTTTCGTAAACAAAACCCGTTGTGAAAAAAACGATACAACGCTGCTTTGAAGCCTTCTTCGTTCAATTCCCTGCCCCAATATTTGTCTTGTTTCACGTAATGATTAGTGTCAGCTTGATAAACCTGTAAAATCATTTGTCGATATAATGGAAGGAAAAATATCGCGTCGACCGTTCAACAGATTCACGAGGGCGCTCGTGAACGCGTTAAATACCTTTACTGGCATTTATTGCCTGTTGTGCCGTCTCTATGCTCGTCTATCATACGTATTCCATTAAAAATACATGCGTAATAACAAACCTGCATTCCACATAATCGAACACCTAAAGAGGCAGATGTGCTGGCAGCACATTTTGCAATTTGGGTGTTACGTTTCTCAGCAGACGCATCGTCGCCGTGTTGTCTGGTTCCCATTTTTAGGTCCAATATACACGGATGAGTGTACCGAGATGTAATATTCTCCAACAAAAGAAAATCTATTTTTATGAAAAAATAATAAAACTATTTGTACATGATACCCCACGGGCGACGTAACTTAATGTTTTTTAGGTAATTTTCATTACTTTCTGTTTTGTTACCTCTTCGAGATACACAATTCCCATATCAGATTGTTTTAACAAAGTTAGTAAAAGCGTTCAATTTAGCTATATTCAGAAAGAAGCTCAACAATTTTTGTTACTTGTTATTTCCATGAAATATCATTATTAAATAAAAGATATTATATACGTACACTGTCTGTTTGCCGCGTTGTCTAAATGCATTCCTGATTTTGGTATTCCAGCATAGGTGTTATCGCGATGAATTTTCATTCTAAAAGAAAGAAATAATAAACGATCGTGGTTGAAAAGTTGTAGTAAATAACGCTGCGAAAACTGGTTCGACACGAACACATGGAAATATTCTGAATTGGTTTAATGCGTCGGTGATTAGCAACAAGCATAAATAGGACCGTTTAACCAACTTTACGTATACTCGGATAGAATTTATCCGCCAAACGTTTACCTAAGTACATCATCTTGTTTTCTTTTGGTCGAACCATGTCCTTGTCTATTATCTTGATCTCGGAAGCTAGGACTAAAACGTTTATCCAAAGTAACTTGGCCGCTATTAGATGCTTGGATAACACCTTAAACACGGGAAATAATAGAAAACTATTAATCTGTCTTTTTAAAACATTTCAGATCGGTCGAGTATCGTTATTTTATATAATTTTCTATACGGATAGAAAAAGAAATTACGGAAAGAAGGAGAAGGAAGGAAAAAAGAAGAGAACTCGATAATAAAGGCAACTTACCTTTAAACGTTGGAACAAAGATTCGTATGTCTTGCGGAATGTTTCGATAGAAATCAAGCTCTCTGCAGTTTAATGGTTTGCAAATGGTATTCTGGTTCAACAAAAGCAATCTGGTATGTCCGCCGACCTATAAGAAAATTATGGTAACAATTTTGGTGGGATAAATTTTGCTTTACTCTGTAATGTTGTAGAGTAAAAAGTATTACCCTTTATCATAAAAAATATGTATACGTAATCCAGAAAAGACGTACGTTAACAGTACCGTACGTTTATTGTTATTTTGAAAAAACAACAATTAGAAAAGATTTAATTAGAAGTTTATCAGAAGAAGTACGGGGGAGAAAAAACGGTACCTGATTTTTGAAAGGCAACAACGCGACTTCTTCATCATTTTCCTGCAGAAAGGACGACGAACTGTTTGTATCGTGGCACTGTGGTTTAGTCTCTCCCATGCCCCACACACCCGAAAGATACACCATAACCGTTTACTATAGTCAGATATACGAGATTGAAATAATTCCGATATATTCAGACGATTTCTACTTTCGTGTTTCTCAATGTTTTCCAACTATCCGACATCAGCGAAGACTCAACCAATACATTGTTTTTTAATAGTTTACCATGCGCATAAAAGAAAGAGAGAACCTTGTAACGATCGAAGTTTTCTTGAGTGAATTGGTCGTAAGGAACAATGCACGGCGCAATGCAATCGACGATATCGTATCGATGAAATGCAATATCCTTCTCGAAAGCGTACGCGAACGTTCAGTCCCTCTTACTCGAAAGTTTGATTAACTTTGAAAGTTTGAGATGGAACGAGAGTTACCATCCTCCATCACACACGAGCTACACATTACGAGTAGACCTCACAGCATAGACGAGGTACATACGTGATACGTGCTTCGGCATTTAAACATTGCATCATAGGAATAGTTTTTAATATTTCAGCACTAGATGAGAAAATGTAGTGTTACGCTAGCACGCGAACTTAGGATTAATGCACATGGGGTAGGGCAGAAACCCCGATTGGAACAGACACTTACTTAACCCTTTCAGTCCTAACCGCCGAGGACCTAACCTCCAAACCACCTAACAAACTAACCTCACCATAACCTAAAACCTCAGGCTAGGGGGCTCGCCACCAGAGGAGTCCAGAGGAGTCGCGCTCTCACAAGCGATCGAGCGAGCCTTGCCGATTAATTTGCTTTAAACTTCCAATGCGTTATTAATATTGTAGGGAGCATGAGTAACTCCCTAGTTACTCCCGCAGATGGCGCGATTGGCGCCGATGCCAACCGTGGAGAGAGGCCGGGATGCTATAGGGAATTTGTCCCTAGGTACTCCCTGGGGCCTCGAGAGACAAGAGAGAATCAGGAGGAGGAGGAGGTATTCCCCGAGCAAGCCTGAGAGACGGTCCAATAATATTATGTGTTTTGATGTATTCATGTATCACTGTTACGTTAATGATTTCAGTTAGTGCATCATTAAAGAATACACGGTCAAATTGTCAGTGACCGTCAGTGGACAATGTCGACCGGCTCCACTAATTCCGTGCGTTCCAGACGCGTCGCAGTTATACGATTATTGTGTGAAAATTCTGTTGAAACTTGATAACACACTACCAGCGGACACTTTAGCCGGCCATCGTGACCGATTGTCGAAACAATTCTATTAACCGAAGAAGTTGTACAACACCGTAAAACAAAGACAGTATTTTAAGCATCTTATAACGACGCCTGCGTTACCGGAGGTAAGATTTTTCGAATTAAATTTATTTTTAAACAGAATTTAGTGATTTCTTAAAACAATGATAATCTCTATAACGTTTATCCGGATGCTATAGTATCCGGTAGGATTAGCATAGGTAGGATACGAAGGAATGGTTTCTGCCATAAAATGCTCATAAAAGCTGAAGAATCCACCAAACTTTTTGATACAATCCGAGTTACGAACGTACATGACGCCGAGGGTGGTATCGCCACCAGAAGAATCTTTAGATACCGATACGGCGGTGGATAGTCTCATCGATACTTACGAGTTCATTACCAGGCGATCAATTAGATTCTATGCGAAACGGTTCAATCTCTCCGGATGCATTAGCGGAAAGGTAAACTGAAATAAAGTGCGAATAGAAAATGTTAATACAATCTCCTTGCATGGAGCCATACTCTCCATTTTCCTCGAGTTTAAAGAAGAACAGGGTCAAAATAGACCCTTAGAGCAGCAGGGTCAAAATAGACCCTTAGAGCAGGGTCAAAATAGACCCGTAGAACAGGGTCAAAATGGACCCACAGAGCAGGGTCAAAATAGACCCGAGACTAAATAACTACTTCCTGATTTCTTATCTAAAATAGTCACTCACTTTTGGATATCGTTTTTTGACCGTAAAATATAAAAGTGCTTACTTATGCTAGTTCGTAAGAAGCATTTCCGACGCGGATATCATTGTACTTTTTCAGTGTCACGCTCTATGACGTCGCTTCTCGTCTCGAGATATCTGGATGTTATATATCGATAAGAGTGCATAACGAGTCAGTTTAATCAGGAAGGTAGGAATATTGTAATTTTCATAGTTTTTAATATCATAAGAAAATATTGATGCTCGTTACGTGTATCCTCTTATGTAACAGAAAGCCAAAGTGGAGAAGCAAATTGGGTTATTAAAAATGTGAGAAGAAAAATCGGAACGTCGAACCGTTTTTAGCGGAACGCCGACTGGACGAGTTAATAGAAGGTGAAGATATAACTGAACAGGAAGCTCGTAAAGCTATCGAAGGACAAGAGGATATGGACGATATAATAGAAGAAGTAAATACCACGAAAGGTGAAAATTTGGTTAATACCTTTCTTTTACTAGATTTACGGTTATATTTTATTTTTATTTCGTTCCGGTAAAAGTGTAATATTTTAGGCGTTGATTGGCAAAAATGATTTTACAACTTGTAAAAAAACGGCTTTAGGGTCAAAACAGACCCGCAGGAAAGGGTCAAAATAGACCCGTGGAACCGGGTCAAAATGGACCCACAGAGCAGGGTCAAAATAGACCCGTAGAAAAGGGTCAAAATAGACCCGAGACTAAATAACTACTTCCTGATTTCTTATCTATTTTTATTTCGTTCCGGTAAAAGTGTAATATTTTAGGCGTTGATTGGGAAAAATGATTTTCTAACTTGTAAAAAAACGGCTTTAGAAGGCGATCTACATGATTTATTAGCCGAGAAAGAAGAATTAGATTTAAAGATGGGGAAATTGGAAGTTGAAGGTGAACGGTGCCGTAATGAAACGAATATGCATGCCGATACCATGCTGTATGAATTATTGCGTAAGTATTTAAATTTATTCGATAATAAAATGGTGAATGGTTTATGTTGATATCTCTGATAGAAAGGTGTATTTTTATTTCAGTAAATTGCATCTCCGAAGCAGAAGATATTATCGAATATTCATTAAACGGTATCGATAATCCAGCGATGTCAGACCTAACTTGTACTCCTCAATACTCATTAAAAGTGCAATACACGTTGCATATGTTCCGGGTCTTTATTTAATACATGGAAAATCTACATGAAACACATCTATTGATATTGCATCGGGCGATAGTAAGTTACGAAAGTTAAAAAATGTAGAAGAAAAAAAATGAAGAAAGTCATAGATATTATTTTGAATTTTATCGTGTTGTAGAATCGACCGACGAATGTAAACAGTTGGGAGTTGGAAGTTTGGTAGAGGCAGAATTGTTAAGTATGGATAAAGCAATAGAAGAAGCTGGTAATCGAATACAGGTAATCGCATATTACATTTTAGTGTAATATATAAATTGTTTTTATACATGGTTATCACATATTTTATGATCAGGACATGGTGGAGAAATCTCGCGCTGGTGATTCCGGGTTAAAATTAGAAGTGAACGGAAAAATGTTAGATTCATGTACAGAATTAATGGAAGAAGGAAAGGTACGTCGCTTATTTTGACCGTTAATATTTAATTTATGAATATTAAATATGGAAAGAGATTTTGAATCGTAGGGCACAGCCTCTGGAACCGAATTCTAGAAACGTAACCATCAATGGTCCGAAGGGCTGATATCAGCAGCGAAGGCGGTTGCATTTGGTGGTAATCTTTTATGGTAAGTGTAGAGGATTTATTTCGGTTTTTGTTTGTTATTAAACCGTAAAATTTGTTTACGCGTGTAGAGAAGCAGAGTAAAAGCAAATAGAAATAGGAATAACTTGGCTGCACTCTCAGAGGCATCGAGAGACGTAACACAAGCAACTGGAAGTGTTGTTGCAATTGCTAAAAACTGTGGCCATCTTGTGGAAGAGAATGGTAATTGTAGTTACTACTCGTTATACACTATTTGGATAAGGATGATAAAGAAAATAAGCGTTAAAGTTGTTAAGTATTAGAAAGAGTGAATATTTTGAACGATTTACAGATGGAGGCACAAGTTGATGTTTTGGAATGGGAAGAAGCTTTGGAGACTGAAAGATTACGTTTAGCTGCTTTACGCCGCTATCATTATCAACTGGAAGGTGAAGAAGAATGATCGGTACGTATTACCGAAGAATATTAAATAATACACTTTTGAAATAATTCGATTGAAATTAAGAATCAAAAGAAATGACAATGTTTCATCGACATGAAGCAGTATCGAAGAAAATGTTTAGAAATGGAAAGTAAAGAGATTCCATTATAAAATAATATATTACGAGAACAGATTTATTTAGGTTGTCCAAAATGAATTATTGTAATCGAATGGCTACAGAAAAGTTACCGTTGAAAATGTAACTGTACCTTTTCTTTAAATGGAAACCTAGAAATGTAGTTTCTTATGTTGTACATAAAAGTACCAACATACTTATGCCCTGAACTTATTCGTTAGGAAGTTATCGAAGATAAATAAAGTTGTAAAGTTGCAGTAAGAACGTATGGTCGAGTTATTAGAAAAGTAATGAAATAATGTGGTTTTTCATAAATGAGAATATACATTTGTCCTTTCTTTAAAGTGTATCCTCATCTGGGAAAAGTAGTTGTTATGTAATCGAGCTATCATTTATTTGCTGAAATCGAGAGACAAGTGAGGAAAAAATGAGATCTTTAAACGTTGAAAATCGCAAGTTGCACCTTTTTTTTGTTTTTTATTATCATAGTCATATCAGTATTGTAGTAAAGTAGCGATACATGCATATGTATCGGAAGTTATGAGACGATTTAACTAGTAGATATATGTGGCGTCACCTCACCTCCCATGCTCGCCACCAGAGGGCCACCAGATGGGTCGCGCTCTCACAAGTGTTCGAGCGAGCCTCCGTTAGTATATATACACTCGGCGAACGACTTTCTATCCGGGCGTCGGGCTACGGGCGTCGGTTAGGTCGTGGGGGTATTGTCGCGGGGGTTAGGTGTCGAGCTTACGTTGGGGGGGGTTTCGTCGCGGTTAGGTCGCGGATAGGGGCGTATAGGTCGCGGGATAGGGTCCCCGGTGTAGCAACGCAACCTTCGATCTCTGGAGTCCAGGCTCCGGGTGTTAGAATTGATCCGGAGAGGGCTACAGAGATCGAAGGTCCGGTGTTAAACCGGCTCGGTGGGGGGAGGGGGCGTAGCTCGTGCGATATTTCGCCTGACCTTGAAATATCAGTCGTTCTCAAAGTACTTGAAATTAAAATTAAAATTTTCTAATTTTTTTTTTTTCATAATATAATTCGAATAATGCCGCGTGACAGACAGTGAAATATAAGAGTGATCGTAAATTTAAAAGAAAAGAATCGTGAAAAGTATGGCATCGTATAATAAATGTAATAAATAAATGAAATGCTAAAAGGCCATGTGCGTAGGTGAAGATCAATGAAACAATAAATACAGAAATAAATACAGATGAATGTCGTATATAAGTAGAGTATGGTATAATTTAAAAAAAATGGTGAGATAGAGATAGAGAATAAAGGATTTTAAACAGATGGGGATAACATGGAAGTTGAAATAGTAGAAATTATGAAAAAACCGGTAAAAAGTAGTGTACAATAATCTAA